TATATACTTATATTTATTTTTTAAAAATTAAATTACCCAGCACAAATCTTTTTTACGATTTTAATTCCTTACCTTATATATTTTTTTATATAATATTGCGGCACATTAAACTTTTTTCCTTTTTCATTTCTTGACAAAAATGGATATGAAACCAACAGTCCGGTGATTACGAGAAACGTATCCACAGTTACTGAAGCGCCAAAAATTAACTGGCTATGCCAGGCATTCATCCACTAAAAATATATTTAATATCTTAATTAATTAGATAAAATTAAAAGAAGATACTTACATTAAGTACATCGTTAATGTTTATGAGAGGTCCACTTCCAATTACTTGAAGTGTATGACAAAAAATTATTACTACAATACTAATAACGCGCAATCCTTCTATACAGTGTAGGTGATTCTGAGAAGTGGTTTTGGCAAATAATCTCTTAACATTGGCTATTAACGAAACAGCGGAGCATAGTGGAGGTACCTTTTCTATTAATAAATTTCGTAATTTTTTGACGAAATGTTTCACAATTTATTGTTAATTATTACCTTCTTTATTTAATTTATACGCTTCAATACAGGTTGCAACAAAAATGCACGCAATATATAAACTTAACAGGGACCTGCAACAATACAAATCAAAATATGCTCTTAAACGGATCATTTTATGCGTACCAGTATTAAGTGCGCGTAGGCTTTTTGCTTTTTATACAAGAGTAACATAATTCAATACAACATAAAATAAAAATTATATACATACAATGTAACAATTGCACCTATTGTAAATTCTGGGTGAATAGTATCCTTTGTTTGGCAGTCGCTTTCATCAGAAAGTATTTGTATGTAAGAACTATTCAAAATGAACTTTAACGCATCTATGTCTATTGCTATAGTTACATTAGAAAAAGTACATGGTGACGGTATGCATGCACCCCACCGAAAATTGAACAATTCAGTTGTTACTGTCGCTAAGCAATACTTCCCATAAAAGAGACTGTTGTTGTATGTACTACTTATACTGATACATTGGTCGAATGATCCTAATTCTTGACGATTACCCGAATACAGACCAGAGGGAATTTTAGCATTTGCATCTAGCACTGAAAAATATAATCATTATTGCGATTCAGTTGAGAACTTATCGAAAATAACTGGAAAACTGAAGAGAGCTCGAGTCCATCGATGAAGTAGTTTACCCGACGTTTCGCCAACTGCTGTGGTTGACATCCACAGGGAACGCAATGAGAGAGAAAAATCCCTCGCAGAGGGTGTGCTGAGACAACACAGTATGCCAACCACAACAGTTCTACACCACGGTCATCTAGCCATAATATCGAACCCTCTTCAGATAACGTCGGCCGTGAAAATCCTTAAACTTTTCATTTGACTTTTTTATTGAATGATTACCATAAAAATGTTATACTTATTTCAAAAATATTTATACAAACAAGATGTAAAATGTTACTAATGGCCTGTTAAAAATTTAATAATTAAAATACATCACATACATGGATACAGGTTTTAAATGTACTTGGGGTAATTTAGTGATTCTCATTAAAATACGCATGACAAAATTATCAAGCTTAAATTGACNATGATCATTATCTTCTTCAAATAAAAATTCAGCAACAGTTTCTCGTATTTTCCCAGGAACATTTATAATCTTAGTACCTCCTAGTGGATATTGCAAGTCTGGACAATAGTTTAATTGTGAATTTGACTTGAGAAACTGAATGGCTCTTCTTTGTGGGGTAACAAAACAGCAGCGAACTACAGAAAAAAAATTTAAAGCAGGCATTGATAAGGATTTTCTAAGAAACTATTTACTTAACTACCTTTAATATCATCTATAATATTCTGTTTTACTTCTGAAATCTTTATGTTGCAAGAATGTAAATGTTTTCTTAATTTGCTACAACACAAAAAATTTAATACTGTTTCCTTGTGTGTTTTTAACAATAACCTACTTATTAATTGCCTGAGAAGCTAAAGGCAATGCTTGCCAAGCATGAAGTACTGGAAGACCATGACAAATTGGAATAACTGTAGTCTCCAAGTATCCTACGTCCACAACTAATGCAGTATTAATTGCCAACGGCGCTAAGCTGACCAAATGTGATGGAACAATAAGTAAAGAGTATATTTCATAGTGACTGAAAAGCACTTTTGCTAGTGTTTCTCGAAATATTGTTGGGCATAACAGAGATTCTACAATTATCACAGGTTTATCTTTTGGGCTCAATAGGACATACCTGAAAGTTATTTAAAATTATAATAATTAGATACGTCTGATATATTTGTACTATTTACTTAAAAAAAATCATATGCAAAAACTCCACCAGTAAGTCATACAAATCGTCTCCATTCACATATGAATAAATTTCTCTTGTTAGATTTGAACCTTTCAATGTAACTTCTGATCGAATTATATGCCTCGGTGCGAATTCTCCACTGAATCCCAATCTAAAAATTAGAATCAAGTTTTACAAATTCACATTTCCTATTATCTGTAGTACTCACTTTGTAAATGCAGCTCCAAGATCCATAACGACCGTAAGTTTTTCAGTTCCAATTCCTTCGTAAAGGGGCATTTTATTAATAAGTATATGTTGCTATACGTGCAATGTATATCCGATTTATTATATGGAAACAATCAATTCCCATAGAACGTGTACGGGTTAGAGTTCCTTAATTCTAGGAAAATATTAATAAATGATCTTGCATGAACACTACATACTTTATTCTACTTTAAGCAAATTATCAAACGGAAAAGAAATAGGATAATAGGGCGAAACATGGGTGAAACTATATGTAGACCTGTGTAGACCACAGATTAAAGAAATATACACTGCGATACACTGTCAGAGACTAACGGAAACCATTGCCACTCAACAAGCCCGCGACAACGAACTTCATAGAAGTTACATGTTGTATGATCATAGATATAGCACGATCCACCGCACTGCTGCACATTCATATCGGATTGTTGCAGAACGTGCAACAATAGTGCAGCCCATGAAGCCAAAAAGATTATAAGAAACCTTACATAGCTTTGTTTTATATTACAGCAGTAAATTCCACAAATATACTGCTGAGCAGATCGTTCTGGTGGCAAACTGGCTTTCTTTTGCACAACCATTACGAATTCTCCCTTTCATAATCTAATAAAATCGTTAAAATAAATTTATCCGTAACCATGAGTAATAATTAAATCGATCATAGAAAAAGGTGATCGTAATCGTCAGAGTAATAACTCCTTCGATAGCGCACCTAGCGGAACTTTGTAATACATTACTGTCGGTCATAACCTTTGTTTCCCTTTTTAAAAGAAAAGAAGTTTTCAAGGAAATTACGCAATTACCTTAAAGCAACTACCTTAAGTAAGAATGTAGTAATTAAAGTGTAACATATGTACCCGTGTGTACTCAATGTTAATATTTTTTTTATCTAGAATCATGGAAAAAATGACGAATAAGGGACTGCCGGGACAGCTTATTTATATTGTAGTTTTTGTCAGTCTTACATTAATTAATGCTGTAAATTCAGAGCAAGAACCAAAGGAGGATTTAACTACGCTTAGTATTTTAGTAAGCTTTTAAATAATAATTCGGCAATGTTTGTCTGAATCACAATGTTTTAGAAAACTGATACAACAAAGACTAGGGAAGAAAATATGGGATTCCTGCATGGATTTGTTGCTTCGATATCAGTTATTTTGGTATCAGAATTAGGTGATAAAACGTTTTTTATTGCAGCCATTATGGCTATGAAACATCCCAGACTAACAGTTTTTACTGGGGCCATGACTGCGCTGGCTATAATGACTGTTTTATCAGGTAAATAGTATTTACGAAGCGATTAATGTATTCCTTTAAAGCAATAATAATAATATAATGCTTTTACTACTGATGTTTTTTATCATAGCTTTGTTTGGATGGGTGGCTAAACTAATTCCAAGAGTGTATACCTTTTACATAAGCACAGCATTATTTGCTATTTTTGGTTTGAAGATGTTAAAAGAAGCTTATCACATGTCAGGATCAGAAGCACAGGAAGAACTGGAAGAGGTACAAATGGATTTACGACGAAGAGATGAAGAAGTAATTTATATATGATCTCTCTGAACAGTCAACAATGTAATTTAGTTGTAATTCTAGTTGGAAAGAGAATCATTGTCAGATATAGAAAGTAGAACACCAAAACATCAAAAAGGTTTAGCTGCATTTCTAGCTGTGTCACGTATATTTCTTCAAGCACTGACGTTAACTTTTCTGGCTGAATGGGGAGACCGATCTCAGCTGACAACAGTTTTATTAAGCGCAACGGAAGTAAGTAGCTGTACTTGTTTCTCCACAATCGCGATTAAATATTATCGGCTACCATTCGTCTAAACATTGAAAATATAGAACATAATGATATGTATTTTAAATGTGTAGGTTGGGATTTATGTTAATTTTATGCAAATAGTACATTTTATAGGTGGTTATTAGTTCGTACTTGTTTGTGTGGTGCGACGCGTCGTATGTTCTCTATTACAATGCAATCGTTACTTCAGGTTTTAGCAGAATCAATCGTCAAAAACGTTTTTATTATTGTCTTGCTTATAATGGGTAAATATAATTTATTTGCAGGATGTATTCGGGGTTATTACTGGAGGCATATTAGGGCATTTTGTATGTACAGGAGTAGCTGTAATAGGCGGCCGATTAATAGCACAAAAGATATCAGTTCGGACGGGTAAGTTCTCTCGACGTTTTTAAATGTTTCCCTTTGAATACATTAGTTTGGCTTTCAAATTATGTGTACAATAGATACACATATTATCTATTTGGCAAACTGTACAAGCAAGAAATTAACCATTATCTAATGTAATTTGTTGTTCATTATGTATTGCCTTTTTTATTTTCAATATTCCGCACACGATGCTTACGTCTAAAGTTAGTTTGTTGGCTTTTTAGTTAAACTATAATATGTATTTATTTTAGTAACGATAATTGGTGGAATAGTATTCTTGCTATTTGCACTTTCTGCATTTTTCGTCGACCCAAATGCCAAATGATGAACGAAAATTTACAACATAGGAGGATGCAGTACGCCTAATTAATTTTATTACGTGAAAAAACCTAATTTTTTCGTAATTTTCTATAAAAATGTTAAGTTTTATATGTATATAAGTATTTGTATATATGTATACTATTTTTATAGTAAATTTTGTTATTAATCATTTACTTATTTATCATGTTTTTGTTTCTAAAAGTAATGTACGTACGTAGGCAGAAATGGGATGTAACTTAACTGTAGAATTTAGGATTTGTAATGAAAAAGTTTCCGAGCCCGTGGCCGTGATCGATAGTAGAAATCAAACTTCCACTGTGGGAAACATCTCAAGTCGATTGCATGACGTTGTAGTAGGTACATACCATAAGTATGACTATGAGGATTTGTTATCTACCATGGATGACAGCACACAAGCTCCGAAAACATAAAAACTTCAGTAGGATCTAGCTTAGATTTTGTAAATTTAAATTCTGCAATTTTAAATTGTACTTATTTTCAATGTACCTAATTATACAAATCACATATATAATTGACTGAAAACAAATGCAAATACACGTTTGGTATATTTGTTATGATATAAATATTTTTGGTTATTTAAAATCACAAAAATAAAAATATCTCTGAAGCTACTTTTTTTTTTCTAGTAACACTTTCAAATCATCAATATGTAAGTAGCACCCGCACAACTTTTTATTCATTCGAATTTAAAAAAAAGGTAGAAAGAGAAGGGAAAGATGTACTGCTACTTTAATTAAAATAGTTTTGTGACTAGTTGGTTACTGAATTTTACGATGATCAATTATTAGTCTAAAAATACCCTAATTGCCTGCAATTTAGGTACATTCATATATTGTATTACTTTTGTTTGTGTGTGTTTATTTATTAAATAACATATACTCAATTACAGCAAATGGGAATTCAAAAAGGAGAGCCCATGGAATGGCTATTGTAAAAGCATAAACAGTATTTGCACCTCCCTCAGTTAGCTGAAATTAAATACATATATATATATATATGCATATTATATTAACTATCTAATTATATAACTATTACCATTATATTTACATTTTTAAATTCTTTAGTAGTTGGATCAAAGACGAAAACTTTTTATGCTAAAAATTATTACAGAACTATTTCTCTCTTCAATAAATGCAATTTAATGCTTTGGAGGGGTGTTATGCATTGTTCAAACGATTTAAAGAGTTCGGTTAGTTTAGGATAATTTTCAGATAAGCGGGAGAGATTTTCAGAGAGACTTGGTTGAAAATTTATTTCACACGTTCACCAAATTATGCATTTTCGCTCGAGCATCATAAAAGAAATTTCAAAGAAATATGTAATTAATGAATAATATGTTTTAATATTCAAAACAGGGACGTTGTCGTCAATCTAATTGAATTTGACTGTAATGAATATTAATATTTAGAATGTACAAGCATACTTACGTAGTTCCCAAAATTGAAGTAAAACGGACTTCTTTTAACGTATGTTAACATATACAAAATTGGCTTATGTATAATGTAAACTGAGAAAACGAGTTTTCCCAACATTTGGAAGAATGGAAGCGAGAGAAACCAATTCACAGGACCTATATATGCATAAAAAAAAACGGCTACGGATTAAACAAAAAGAATACAATGTAGCTAAATAATAAAAATTACCTCCATAACCGCAGTAACACGCCAGAATTAACCAGCTTATTGCTATTGACCATGCAGGTTTTACCAACGATATATGCAACGCATTTCCCCAGTAATTGTATTGCTGGCTTTTCAAATGGTCATAACCCACAATCAGGCTTGTCAACAGGGTAGCAAAACATACAAACCACAAGCACAAATTAACCGGCTGAAAAAACGTAGACAATAAAGTGTTATATCAACAAAAGTCTTTTTAGAAAATGCTGCTTTAATAAAAAACACAATTTACAAAAAACTTTCCTAACAAACATTATACACACCTTGCTTATTTTTAACTGGAATCTCTTCATTTTTATTTCAAAAATGATGTAACCCAGCACTAGTCCGATTATCCAAGGAGCGAGACGAGCATGAGTTATATAGTAATACTTATTAAAGTATAAGGATGTGTTTCTAAAATGCCACTTCAATTAATTTGTTTCTATACACAAGACACACTCCGTTTTAACGAAATGAACATGACGTAATCTTTTGGCTAACTTACCCGTTTGGATTTGTAAGGATTGCTGGTAATTCATAGTGCCAGGATAAGTAAAAAGGAAATGCAACGGAAAAAATTAAAGCGATTCCAAGAAAAGTCAATGTATACTTTCGATACTTAACCAAGGGTATTAAAATAATTGGTGAAATAATTACAAGTTGCATGTATACGTCTAAATACCAAGAAGGTGTAATGCACTGAAAAAATCATATACACGTATAGGCAAATGAGCTCAAACAATCATTTATTATTTACCAAATCATCGGGATTATAATAATTTTGAATATAGAGAAGCGACGACCACCAATAGGATTTGCAGGGTGATTGCACATCAGAAGCGAAAATCCAGTACGGTCCTGTTCCTAAATATGGGTACAACGTTGCAACAGCTAAAACTGCCACCGCATATGTGGGCGTAATTCTAAAGAGAGTTTCTTGATTTATATACTTATATTTATTTTTTAAAAATTAAATTACCCAGCACAAATCTTTTTTACGATTTTAATTCCTTACCTTNAATATTGCGGCACATTAAACTTTTTTCCTTTTTCATTTCTTGACAAAAATGGATATGAAACCAACAGTCCGGTGATTACGAGAAACGTATCCACAGTTACTGAAGCGCCAAAAATTAACTGGCTATGCCAGGCATTCATCCACTAAAAATATATTTAATATCTTAATTAATTAGATAAAATTAAAAGAAGATACTTACATTAAGTACATCGTTAATGTTTATGAGAGGTCCACTTCCAATTACTTGAAGTGTATGACAAAAAATTATTACTACAATACTAATAACGCGCAATCCTTCTATACAGTGTAGGTGATTCTGAGAAGTGGTTTTGGCAAATAATCTCTTAACATTGGCTATTAACGAAACAGCGGAGCATAGTGGAGGTACCTTTTCTATTAATAAATTTCGTAATTTTTTGACGAAATGTTTCACAATTTATTGTTAATTATTACCTTCTTTATTTAATTTATACGCTTCAATACAGGTTGCAACAAAAATGCACGCAATATATAAACTTAACAGGGACCTGCAACAATACAAATCAAAATATGCTCTTAAACGGATCATTTTATGCGTACCAGTATTAAGTGCGCGTAGGCTTTTTGCTTTTTATACAAGAGTAACATAATTCAATACAACATAAAATAAAAATTATATACATACAATGTAACAATTGCACCTATTGTAAATTCTGGGTGAATAGTATCCTTTGTTTGGCAGTCGCTTTCATCAGAAAGTATTTGTATGTAAGAACTATTCAAAATGAACTTTAACGCATCTATGTCTATTGCTATAGTTACATTAGAAAAAGTACATGGTGACGGTATGCATGCACCCCACCGAAAATTGAACAATTCAGTTGTTACTGTCGCTAAGCAATACTTCCCATAAAAGAGACTGTTGTTGTATGTACTACTTATACTGATACATTGGTCGAATGATCCTAATTCTTGACGATTACCCGAATACAGACCAGAGGGAATTTTAGCATTTGCATCTAGCACTGAAAAATATAATCATTATTGCGATTCAGTTGAGAACTTATCGAAAATAACTGGAAAACTGAAGAGAGCTCGAGTCCATCGATGAAGTAGTTTACCCGACGTTTCGCCAACTGCTGTGGTTGACATCCACAGGGAACGCAATGAGAGAGAAAAATCCCTCGCAGAGGGTGTGCTGAGACAACACAGTATGCCAACCACAACAGTTCTACACCACGGTCATCTAGCCATAATATCGAACCCTCTTCAGATAACGTCGGCCGTGAAAATCCTTAAACTTTTCATTTGACTTTTTTATTGAATGATTACCATAAAAATGTTATACTTATTTCAAAAATATTTATACAAACAAGATGTAAAATGTTACTAATGGCCTGTTAAAAATTTAATAATTAAAATACATCACATACATGGATACAGGTTTTAAATGTACTTGGGGTAATTTAGTGATTCTCATTAAAATACGCATGACAAAATTATCAAGCTTAAATTGACCTTTGTAAGTAAAATTGTCGCAACCTAGATTTTTATATCTGAAAATTTTGATAGATGTATATCACCTAATTTTTTTATCACATATAAAGCCATCTACAAATAGAATACTTGGCATTGAATTTAAAAAAAAAAAAACTATAATTTTTATATCGCTAACATTAAGGTATATATAATATAATGAAATTAAATGCATTTTATTAAGTAATTTTGTACGATCTATATTCAGTAAGAACGATAATTTATTAAAATAATGTCACAAATAAATTACGAAAATTGGCAGATGATAAACAATTTCTTTTCAATAGCGGATAATTTAATTACTTTTAGGGACCCATTCGGCTATTGCAGATAAGTTCTGGTACTGATCTCGTAACCGATTACAAAACTCTGCATCTTGGGCTGATGAAAAATAAATTAATGTTGACAAAATGAACACCAATGCACCATTCACATACAACATTTTAAATTAAATTACAACAGAAATTTCAACGATCTCACTTGTTACCCACTTTTAAGATAATATCGAAATAAAATACGATTGTATTGTTATAAATCATTTAAAAGTATCAATTATCTTATGTGATAACAAGATTTAAACACATTAAATCTGAAATGATACAGCGATTAGATTAAGTTTGGTATGTGTATCAATTACTATCAGAAATACTCTTTATACTTTATTTTTCTATATTTTTTAATGACAAAAGAAAACGTTATTTTCATTTTCTTAGCGTAAATGATAAATTTTGGAGTAGGTATCTCTATTTAGTTTTTGCTCATGAAAAACTGCAAGAAACTAAATCTGTTTAGCCTTCGTTACAAATTACTCAAAATTTTACTGGTGTTCGCATGAATTCATGAATGTAGGTGCCTTGAAAGAAAAAGAATGTACGTTATATATTAATATTATATAATAAAATGGTCCGTTAATTAATATTTATACTCTACGGTTTTGATGTTTAATAACTAGAAGCTACTACTTATCCTTAATGAGATTAGAGATTGCAAGAAAATCATATTCCTATCTACTTGACAGATAAAAATCTATTGTGTTAAAAGTTTTCTCGATGACGAAGTACGTCGACACATTTTACAGTCCTCTACTCCTGACGAAGAATCTGAACTTTCAGAATCGGAACTGCTTGATCCGGAATCGCTTCCTGATACTTCCGATTGACTATCTTCGGTTTCATTTAAGAAGTCTTCGGAAGTTTTGTAAGTGCACGTATTTAGTGGTAAATTACTTAATTCTGAAGGTGAATACGTCTACAAGATATAATGATTAAACTGTGCGAAAAATCTATCCCACGCGGAAATTAAGGAATTATTATTTACTCTATAATAATCGCAGAACTGTCCAGGAACAAGGGCAACCGGATAATGTTCAACTGGTAGTTTGTGCACTTCTTTAAATTTTCCTTTAGGAAAATGTATAGTAAATGTTTGTAAATCCATACAACCCTTTCTCTGTTCTCTTCGAGACTGCATTAGACAAAGACAAAGGATTAAACACGAAAAGTAATACATTAACAATAAATTTTCTTTTCAGTAAATCGCATGTAATAGATATTTTTGGCTTAGTGATTTTTTACAAATTTTAAAAACATTAATTGTTGACTATTATTATTTGTAATAGGCGATACGTCAGGAAATATTTTGCAGAGACAACGGTCAAAAAGCCCGTAAACAAATAATAATAGTACTGAGGACGACAGCCGTGAAAACCTACGTTTATTTAGTAATACAAGACTTATCAACTACTTTACATTGATTACTTACTTTATTAAAGTTAGCATTCCACGTTGATGTCGAATGAATCGCTTGCTCGACAATATCGAGTTTATTCTTTTCTTGACTGGCTGCAAGATTCAAAGCCTTTTGTTTATTCGAAATATCTTTGGCATGACGATCTCTTTGATGTTTGCAATATTCTTCATATTTTGGTTGAAAATCTGCATACATTATGTCTAAAATGTCTTCACTTTTTACTGCTGTCAAACCCATATCACACATGGCTTCAGACGCTAAACCACTCTCGCGAATGAAATCACGTTCCTGCATGTCTACTGGGCGTCTTTGAATCCCTACCAAGTCAATTAATATTCACATATGTCTGACAAAAACAAAAAAGCTATGGCGTGAGTGCCTGTGTACAAGTTATAAGTTATATTTCCATTTACATATTTATTTAACCAGCATATGCATAACAATGATGTATTTATTAAAAAAATGTTTTCAATTACATTTTTGAACAGTATTTATTTACGGTATTTTCTGTACTCTAATGGCCGTTTCGTTGCAATGATTTGTTAAGTGAATAAAAATTTGTGTTGAAATGTCTTATTTTCTCTTCCGAAAACGTGTACCACTGTCCAAGTATGGACAGACTCATTTAATATATATTATTGTCAATTTTTTATTCGCTGTGCGCGCGCAACTTCCGTTCGCTGGGAGAAATTTTACTATCAATGCACCAAAAAGTAAAATAAGTCTAACAAAAAGAACGCGTACCTGGGTATTTTCTTTTGAAAGATTTTATTCCTAAAAATTGGGCAACTTGCTCTTGTAACATAAAAGGTCCACCTCCCCCCCAGCAATATTCTGCCAATTTGTCGGCGGAAATTATTTCACCTTCCGGTTCTAAATGCACTTCTTGCTTTGGAACTTTTCGAGATTTTTGATTTTTTTCGCTTTCTGTTGTAGCTGTGCTCTGTATTGAACTTTGAGATTCTTCTATTGCGGCTTCAAGTGGCGTCGATATTGTCTGAATGAAAGAAGCAACTATTTTGCCTTATAATGCTTCACATGAGTAATAATTAAATACTGTCCAGTTTTAAAATTAAAAAATAAAAAAAGAGGCACAAAACGGCAAGTTAGGCCTCGCGCACTCTGATACTGATGTATAACTATCACCTGTTTAGCTGGTGTATGAGCTCTGCTACTGTCCGCACTCATACGGGTTTCCTCTTCGTACAGTTCACTTTTGGGCGGTTCGAGCAATGGTGGGGGTGCAGGTTGTATAGTATTTACTGGTGACGCAGGGAATGTTTCAGACAAAGAAGAAATTTCGTTTGTAGAACATGCTGGTATAGCTGATGCAAATACCTCACATTCAGATGATACTTTACACTCATTATTTTCGTTTGTAATCACATCATCTGAAACTATGGCCTCTTCTATTTGTTCTGGCGGTATTTGCGGTTCCTAAAGAAAATACGATAAAGTCCAACAGCATGTAAGAATAATAATAAAAATAATAACCCTTAAATTATTGCACTTACCCTAAATTGAACAAGGCGTTATTTTTATAAGAAGTTATTATTTGGTTAATTTACACAAACACTTAGAAGTTACAGTCAATAATTTCGGTCAAGTTCTAAATATAACTGAAAATTAACGTATAATACGCATCTGGACTTGTCGCACGTAATAATTTATTTTTGTATGGATCTATTATTATAACTTTTTTACTTATAAAAAATCAGCATTTCTTTTACCGAAAAATTGAAAGATTACGTGCGTTTTGCAATTTTGTAAAATGCTTATGAAATGAATAAATAAACAATTTTATGCTTTATTTTATTTTTTTTCTGTTATAACTAACCAAAATATTCACTGTCTTATTATTTTTAGCTATTTTAATTTAGTAAAGAAACACTAAAGAAGGAAAGAATAGAAGTGCACACGATGCGAATCCCGCTTTCATTAATTTCGGGAGATTATGTTTAATGTTTTTGCTATCAAATCTAAATTAAAACACTTTTATTATATGTATGTATGTATTGTAGGATAACAACTTGCCTCCTCCTTCTCCTCAAAACTCAGGGCGTCCATAGTCAATTTCATTACGATTCCTTGTTTACCACCCCTCCGTCCACGTCCTCTCCCTCTATTACCACCACCTCTCGGTTTTCTTGGCTTGATTCCTAAAGTATTTCGTACAGATTGTCCTCGGCAACTCCTCTTCGGTCTGGAGGACGTCTTTTGTTCGAATATCTGAACTGATTCCTGCTCCTCTTTCGGAGGATCTTTAAATTCTTCCCGAACTTCCAGAGGAACTTTTCTGGGGCGCCCTCTTTTTCTTGGAGTCTGCGTCTGAATAGCTACCAAAATTACATGTGTTAGTACTTTATAAATTTGTCCTTGTTCATATGTGCTTACGCGACAAAGGAGTTGTGGTAGTGGAAATATTACTAACTGATATTCCTGGTTTTAAAAGGTGAGTCGCTTGTTTCATGACAGCCGCTGTTTCGGGAGTTATTTCAAAAACAGGGATGTCTTCTAACGGATCCACCACCACCACTACATCGTCTACTCTTTCTATTTTCTTCTTTATTGCATCCAACGGTATAATTTCAACGGAATCTTTGTAGTCTCGATCCAGTTCGTTTGGTTTTGCTCCAATTTTAGAAACGTTATCTGAACTATCATGAGAATCTTCAGAGTCGATTAGGCTAATTGTAACGTCACCCATTTCAATTTTTTGTTTTTTAGTTTCGTAATTTATATGTTCTGAATAACCTCTTTTAATGCTATCTTTAGCAAGTTTCGTTTTTAATCGAGTTAATTTTTCAATTTTATCAGATGAACTTCTTGATGGAGAAGAGATTGTACCCTTATTAATTTTTAAAACTGGCTATTGTAAAAGCATAAACAGTATTTGCACCTCCCTCAGTTAGCTGAAATTAAATACATATATATATATATATGCATATTATATTAACTATCTAATTATATAACTATTACCATTATATTTACATTTTTAAATTCTTTAGTAGTTGGATCAAAGACGAAAACTTTTTATGCTAAAAATTATTACAGAACTATTTCTCTCTTCAATAAATGCAATTTAATGCTTTGGAGGGGTGTTATGCATTGTTCAAACGATTTAAAGAGTTCGGTTAGTTTAGGATAATTTTCAGATAAGCGGGAGAGATTTTCAGAGAGACTTGGTTGAAAATTTATTTCACACGTTCACCAAATTATGCATTTTCGCTCGAGCATCATAAAAGAAATTTCAAAGAAATATGTAATTAATGAATAATATGTTTTAATATTCAAAACAGGGACGTTGTCGTCAATCTAATTGAATTTGACTGTAATGAATATTAATATTTAGAATGTACAAGCATACTTACGTAGTTCCCAAAATTGAAGTAAAACGGACTTCTTTTAACGTATGTTAACATATACAAAATTGGCTTATGTATAATGTAAACTGAGAAAACGAGTTTTCCCAACATTTGGAAGAATGGAAGCGAGAGAAACCAATTCACAGGACCTATATATGCATAAAAAAAAACGGCTACGGATTAAACAAAAAGAATACAATGTAGCTAAATAATAAAAATTACCTCCATAACCGCAGTAACACGCCAGAATTAACCAGCTTATTGCTATTGACCATGCAGGTTTTACCAACGATATATGCAACGCATTTCCCCAGTAATTGTATTGCTGGCTTTTCAAATGGTCATAACCCACAATCAGGCTTGTCAACAGGGTAGCAAAACATACAAACCACAAGCACAAATTAACCGGCTGAAAAAACGTAGACAATAAAGTGTTATATCAACAAAAGTCTTTTTAGAAAATGCTGCTTTAATAAAAAACACAATTTACAAAAAACTTTCCTAACAAACATTATACACACCTTGCTTATTTTTAACTGGAATCTCTTCATTTTTATTTCAAAAATGATGTAACCCAGCACTAGTCCGATTATCCAAGGAGCGAGACGAGCATGAGTTATATAGTAATACTTATTAAAGTATAAGGATGTGTTTCTAAAATGCCACTTCAATTAATTTGTTTCTATACACAAGACACACTCCGTTTTAACGAAATGAACATGACGTAATCTTTTGGCTAACTTACCCGTTTGGATTTGTAAGGATTGCTGGTAATTCATAGTGCCAGGATAAGTAAAAAGGAAATGCAACGGAAAAAATTAAAGCGATTCCAAGAAAAGTCAATGTATACTTTCGATACTTAACCAAGGGTATTAAAATAATTGGTGAAATAATTACAAGTTGCATGTATACGTCTAAATACCAAGAAGGTGTAATGCACTGAAAAAATCATATACACGTATAGGCAAATGAGCTCAAACAATCATTTATTATTTACCAAATCATCGGGATTATAATAATTTTGAATATAGAGAAGCGACGACCACCAATAGGATTTGCAGGGTGATTGCACATCAGAAGCGAAAATCCAGTACGGTCCTGTTCCTAAATATGGGTACAACGTTGCAACAGCTAAAACTGCCACCGCATATGTGGGCGTAATTCTAAAGAGAGTTTCTTGATTTATATACTTATATTTATTTTTTAAAAATTAAATTACCCAGCACAAATCTTTTTTACGATTTTAATTCCTTACCTT